TACTAAAGAAGTCAACTGTGGACTATGTTGACCCTGATATACTTAACAAAAATGTGATGCAAAATAATGCCACCCATATGTAACCTGGTTTAAAAGTCATTTGGCTCCTGGGTTCTAATCAACAACATTTTCAGCACATGCACATACCTTATAGACAGGACATGTTTAACAAAGTCTTCTGTCAGTTACAGAGCATCCATCATAGTGGGAAAGGATCTACCTTATGTCTGAGTCTTGCGGCACACAAGAAACACTGATGTGAGCTAGGAAAGTCCACCTCTTAATTACTGTGTATATCAAAAATTCTGAAGTCTAAATGGGAAGATCCAGTTTCTGCTCTTTTAATGAACAAAAATTCTCCCCCCCCCCCCCAAGATTTTAAATTTTCACCCCAAAACTGAGTAGGGACATAATGGCTATTCCTGAATTTCATAGCTAGAGATGCCTAAGGGATCTAAGGCGCAACTTGGACACAGATCCCTCAGCCTTAAGTACTCAAAGTGAATGGCAGGTGCTGGTTTGCCAACAGGGATGTGGGCATCCCTGTTCAGGGATGCCGAATTTTTATTTCCTCCCAGTCACTGAATGGTCTAGATGACAAAAAGTACATGCTTATCTCATAATAAGGTCAAAAAAAAAAAATCTGTTGAGGTCAACAGCCTACAGTTACGACTTTCTTTTTGGCTTTCAGTCTGTGCTTGCTTGGAGGGCAAATTCTATTTATATTTAGTATAACTCCAGCTTAAGAAATATTAAAAAAATCCTTAACAGAAAAAAGATACGTCAAACAGAAAGTGGATGATCTGATTTCCTTAACAATTTTTGCATGCTAGTAGTTACTGACAGAACAGTATTTCAGAATGTGACTAGTTCTGTACTTCACTTATTTATCGTGTTGTCTCTGCAGAGTTGCTAGCCATGGAAGGGGCTTACCTGCCACTTGCATTTTTATTTTCAATAACTGGTAGATACATCACTCCTGTCTAAAGGGAAAAAAAAAAAAGTAGTTGTTTGCGATACCACTAAGGATACCCGTGTCTGTATTTTGGCTTGTGTTTTAGATGATACTTCTACCCCCTGTTCAAGATTCCAACACATAGAAAGATTTATGTGAAGATTTTTTTTCAATTTTTTTAATCAAAGTTGTTCTGTGGCTTAGCCCAATCAACCAAGATCTGAATTTTTTCGATAATCTTTAATTTTATCACATGGAAAAGTCCAGCTTCACTTCATCAGTTCACCACTTACTAGCATGGCACGTATATATTGGTAACACACTGAGTACAGTATGGAAGTAAGGCATATAGTTCACTTCCTTCGGCATCCAATAAACATCCCTTAAAAATATGTTTGCATTCTAGTCAGAAAATGAGTGATAAGTCTGCTGGATTCTCTACAGCTGTAGCCTACTTTGAGCTCAAGTACATGTAGTGTTGCCTTTTCTGTGTTCAGGCATACTGAGTGGCATTATTCGTCACAGCATATATGTCTTTCTTTTGCTCATATTGTGGCTGGTGTATATTCTGGTTAAAATCACAAAATAACTCCTTTTGGCATGGTTATTAGTTAAAAATGACTTAGCGGTAATTATTTCAATATAATCTATTAATGGCTCAGGTTAATATGGATCACTTAAAAAAAATCATAGCCACTAGTCATTTCACTTCTTAGTTTTTTGTAAGTAATCTACATTTTTCATATTATCTGTATAAATTTAGTTATTTTAAATGATTGTTATATTTTTAATGTGTGCACTGGAATAAACTGCAAGTCTGTTAAGTTTCTGAGATAGCTTCTTAATACATTATTTCAGTTTTCTTCTTAAAACCAACACAGAACATACACTTGCTCTTTTACAGCTGGCACTGTATGTGCTGTCATTCCTGGAACCCAGGGACCTTCTGCAGGCAGCCCAGACCTGCCGTTACTGGAGAATTCTGGCTGAAGATAATCTTCTCTGGAGGGAGAAATGCAAAGAGGAGGGTAAGGCTGAGCAAAAAGATGAATGTGTTGCTGACATGAGCAGTGCATGTCTGGGGCATTCATCTTCTTTTACATAATGAGCTTAAAGTTTTAAGAAGGGAATGTAGGTGACTTTAAATTTACTGATAGTGATGTCTTGACCTGTATGGTACATATCTGTGTTGAAACTAGGGAGTAGAATAATCCATCGAGTACTAGAAATGAAACTAGACTTAACTTTAGCATCCTATTTATAGAATATTAAGAATATGTTTTTAAAATACAATATACTTGCCATTTTGAATACAAGAAAAGTAAGAACCGAAATGTAAAAATGATAGAAGTATGGTATTGCAGATTGCAAATAGCATGGAGAACATCTCCTGCGCAGTGGTGGTAAGGAGGGAAGGGTAACTCCATGGCAGCTGGTGGACAGTACCAGAGGAGCTGCAGGGCCGCGTGCCCGGCACCCGCTCGTGCTGGTTCTGGAGCGCAGCGGGGCTCCGCAGTGCGAGCGGGAACGCAGCCACCTCGCTGGGAGCTTCAAAACCTTAAAATGGTCGACTTGGGAGAGCCGAGGCTGAGCTCGAGCCTCTGCCTGCAGAGTGCTGAGCAGAGACACGTGTCCCTGCCCTGGCTGCCTTAGCAGCTTCGAGCTGTCTTGGAGACAGCTCTGCCCTTGCTAAGGGGATATGCAAAGGCATTAAAAAAGATGACAATATGAATGTAATTGGGAATTTTCAAAGGAGCCCAAATTAATGAGTTGTTCTTCTGCAGTAGAAACCATGTGTCTAATCCCTTAAATCTTAGAAAAGACTCTCCTCTTTAAAAATTTGAGTGAGCATACAGTAAGAAAGCACAGAATTAGAAAAACAGGGAAGGGTTGAGGGAGGGGATGATTCTACATTTGTGAGCTTAGAAGCATGAATAAGTACACACAAACAAAACACTGATTTAGCCTGTAAGGTGCTCACACACATGAAGGAACAGTTCCTGCAAGACTTGTAGATAGCAGCAGCAGAGAAAGTGCAGAAGAGAGCAGGAGGGGAGCGTGACATCCACACCCTAACAAAGACAAGGCTTGTGCGAGTAACGAGATGAGTAGAGAGCAGGCGCACAGGAAAGATGAACGGACCAGAAGGGGAAGTAAGTGCAGGAGAAGCTGCAGTAGCAAGGATAGAGCAAAGCATCTACCTCTCCAGAGTAAATATGAAAGGGGATAGCTATACTTAAATTCAAGCCAGGGAGGACTATGCCAAAAGCACACAGCCTTCTAATCAAAACAAGAATTAACAGATAGTTATATCAAGAGTGAGAGTGAGCTCTAAGAAAGCTGTGGGGTGGCATTGCCAGAGGGCAGGGGTAGTTCACTGGCTAGGGAACGGAAAGTTTCTTTTCTGAAGGTCTTTGGAAGGAGGCTACAAGTGAGGTTTGCTGTAGAGATCCTCTTTGCAAAAGGCAGGGTTCTGCTAGACTTCTCTCAGGCCTGCAGACAAGCTAGTAGATAGCTCACAAAGTGTGATGAATGACAGCATTTTCAACCACCTGATCACCTGATAACAATTATGCTGAGAAGACATGGCAAGATACGGTAGAGCTGAGGGCTGGGCGGAATCACTGGCACAAATGCAAATATCGGCATGTGAAGAGCAGCAGAGTCCCCTTAGGAGGTTGCTGGGTCAATGTGGTATTTAATTGCAATGGATGGTAAATGGTCGGGTGGGAGAGTAGCTGCTTGATTCAGGCTAGACCTCTTGTCCCCTATCCCCTTTCTTTTTAATTCATTGCAGGGATTGATGAACCATTGCATATCAAGAGAAGGAAAGTAATAAAGCCAGGCTTTATACATAGTCCATGGAAAAGTGCATACATTAGGCAACACAGAATTGATACCAACTGGCGGCGAGGGGAGCTTAAATCTCCTAAGGTAAGATCAGCTGCAGAGCTACGTGCAGGGTGCCATGACTACACAGGATCAACCCTTAGCTTTTTTTTCTTTTTTTCTTCCCCCCCCACCTTTTTTATTTTCAGGCCATCAATGTACACAAAACCATAACCTCCTTACAGGAAAACAGTAATCTATATTTTAATTTACCTTGTTTTTAAAATAATTTCTGAGCACCTTATTAGCAAATCAAAATGTGATTATTTGTACAGCACTGTACACTGCCACTTTAAAAAACACTATAGTATAATTTGGTGAATGCCTATGTGCATATGTCAGTCTTTATGAAGGAGATAATCATCTCAGAGACTTGATGGGAAATAGTTAGGTAAACAGGCACATGCACACACAGAGCTGTGCTATGCCCCAGTATGAAAATATTCTGTGATCAGTTCATGCTTTGTCTCAATACATACTTGTACAAATTGAGCAGCACAGGATAGAAACTTGGTTCTTCATTAGGATTTTTCTGCTTTTTAAAATTTTTGAAGTATTTTAATGACATCAATACTGCAGTCTTCTTGCATCTTTTCTAATACAGACATAGGAAGCAGTACTTTTAACCTCTGTAAAATAAAATACCAATGTTCTAATCAAACCTGATAATGAAAAGTGAATAGCCAAAACATGAAGAAAAAAAACAGGTTTGAAGCCTTTCTGATAAATTCCCTATTGATTACTATTCAACAAAATAGTAAGAAAAAAGAAATTCCTTCTAAAAACCTATGGATGTATCCTGCTGTTATTTTGCCACGACTTTTGTATTTCTTGCCTTGATATGCCGCATCAAGTTATCTTGGAATTATTATTAAAATTACAGCCCCAGGCATTATCCAGATGCCCATTTCAGTTCTATGAACATTTTGAAAAGTATCCAGATATGTTAAACAAAAAATTCCTCATCTTGTGTATCCTGATAAGCATTTTTCCTTGTGTTGCATTAAAATATTCTAAACTGCAGCTTTCCCATATCAAATATTAAAAATGCCATTTTTATGAAGTAATGCTCCGATCTATATTTTCAGCACATTAAATCACCACTTTTGTTTGTAATTAATTGAGTTATGGTTTTTATGGTTTTATAGTTCTTGACTTTGCTGCTGCCTAGAATTTAATAGATTACAATGTGTGGTAAGGAAAATATATATATATTTCAGTTTTGACCATAGAAGTGCAGATATGCAGCACATAATAGAACCCCATCTTTTTGTTCAGGGTTGAAATACCTTTTAAAAAGTAAGAGTGAAAAAAAGCAAATGTAATTAAAAAACAAAGAAACAAGGGAATAACTGCAGAGCAACTAAACACTGTCCAGCTATTAATTCAACCTACCTCTGAGTGATTTATCCTGGTACGTTTAGAAGATTTTAGAATAATGGTAGCACACGTGATAGGCAATGTGACATGATTTGATGGAGGAGGAAAACACCTTCCTTGCTCCCAGCTGGGAGTAAATTAGACTTGACACATGGGATTAAGGGACCTTATTATTTTTGAAGCAACTGTAGCATTTTGCAATTCCTGATTCAGAATAGCACTTCGTTTTTCCTGCCTACCCCTGTTCTCTTGCAAGTTGGGAACGTACGTTTCTGTGTCCTCCCCATCAGGTGCTCAAGGGCCATGATGACCACGTGATCACCTGCCTCCAGTTCTGCGGGAACCGCATAGTGAGCGGCTCCGATGACAACACGCTGAAAGTTTGGTCAGCGGTGACAGGCAAGGTAAGATGAGTGTTTCTTAAAAATGAGCTACCAGTAGAGGATGGAAAAAATACAGTTTCATCAGACTGCACTGCAGAGTGGTCCTGTCTTGTGCAAGAATCAGGAAAAAAAATAGTAGTAAATATTTGGGTCATCTTTTCCTGCACAGAAATGAGTCTATTTCAAAAAAGTCACCTTGATGTGAAATTACAACGCTGCTCATGTTATTGTTGGCATATATCCTTGTTCTCTTGGCAATTCCTCTATTCTTGCAGAGTCATTTGTGACATGAATTCTAGAGAATTTGGACAGATACATTATTTTATATTTCTTAAAGCTTAATTTAGCCTGTGGTTACCCCTCTGCATCTCTCCTACTCTCTTCTACCATTCTTTCTGCTGCTTTTAAGTTATTGAAATGGTGTGTTCATTTTACTGGTTCTGCCTTCAAGTATACAGTTGTTTTTTTTTTTCCTTTCTAAGATGCTATACTGCCAAGCTACAAAAAAAAAAATTGTAACTTGCTTTAGGTTTAAATATTTCCTATTAAATTAGATCCAGCTCTGGCAGGAATTTAATAAGCTTCCATAATTTAATTTTGGCTTAGAGAAGCAAAACAATATGTGCAATCAAAAAGACAGCCCCAAACATTTCACTCATGTTAGAACATCACATCTCCTCAGTACACAGTTTTTGTTTTAATGTGACTGACCATACTCCCAGTGCACAGAAGGGCCTCAGGAAAATAACACTTTTTCCTTCTGAACAGGTATTGTATGACTTGGTTTGTCTTAATGGCACAGTTGTGTCAACAAGATAACTATTGAGGATAACATGCTTAAGATGTACAAGACATCTATATTATTCAGGTTGAATGTATTGGACATTTGTGTTTGCATGCCTAGAAGTTCCTTGCTAAGACTGTAAATACTACTGCAGGGAAGAGTAAAATTAAAAGCAGCGGGCAGCCTCCCTGTAACTTCGAGGCTTCCCTACAGCAAACTGCCTCATGAAGGCACCCATGTTGAAATTAACACTTCTTTTTTATTACTGAAAAGAGTAGGTTAACCTGAAGTGAAAAACACTTGCTATGTACCTACCAGCCTCTCAAAAACAAAAGACTCCTTTAGCATTTAACCATACAAGTATAACTTACAAACTTATATTTTTTGAAAGTAATTACAAATCTTACTATGACTATTCTGCCCAAATCGTAAGTAGACCTGCTCTATTAGCCCTCATGCTTTCTGATACTGAAGAGTTAATGACTTTAATTAAAAAAAAAAAGTTGATTTGTGCAAATAAATGGGACTAGGATATTCATTGTATGCTCAAGAGGTGTTAACAACCCAAAGGAGGTTTCTGTCTGCTTGCTTCTTTAGAAGAATGATTTCTTCAGATATGAGCAAATCAGTGAAATGAAACAAGAAATGTCTGGGAGCTGCTTAAGAATAATTTTGCTACATGCAGGGAGAGCCCAAATTAAAGGAGGCTGAATTCTGTAAGAATACTAGCAATCTCACTTAGAGAAAATACGAAGGACAGCTATGAACTGAAAAGGAGAATTGATAGCAGTGACATAAACTAGAAGCCAGGAAAAATGGTAAGAAATATTAAAGAACAGGAAATCTATGCACAGCAAAAAAAGTAAGGAAGTTTTCAACTACATTCAAAAAGGATTTTAACAACTGAAACTAGTTGAACAATCACAGACACAGAAAAGATTTTTGGTGTTTCTGCTCTAATTTTTGAGAAAATTCACATGATGTAAATACAGCATGCCATGATGATAAAACA